CAATCTTACTTAGCCTTACCTACAATTACCTTACGATTTAACTACGGCAGTAACTCACTCACAACTTGAGCTCAATCGGGAACACAAGTAACATCTCGGCCATACAGCGCATACCAAAATCGTATTCCTCTAGACAGCCCGCGCATCCGAAAGAACAACCTAACGACACTACCGACACGATTCCTCCTCTTTCCTTTGGCAATAATCCACCGGCACTAGGCCCAGGCGATTCGAAATTACACACCGCACCACCTTCCGCAACCATGCGAGTGGCATTTCCGAAACATTGCGAGCCTACGAAAACTATAAGCCACTGCCTTTTTGTGGGTGACATATCACTCTGTCTTGTGATGACTATCAAACACATCCTAACAAAACATCCCATATCCACCGGCACTTTTCAAAACAGTAACACTAGTGTCCACAGCATCAACGTCATAAACGGACAACAGACCAACTCAATTTCTGCCAAATTATCAACATCGTAGTGTCTACAAACTGGTCAAGATCATCACAACCTTCGCGCGGCGACCGTCGACCTACCCGAGAGTAGTCTCTCTCTCACGCTTCTGTAGCCACGGTTTAATACACGTCTTGTCTCAACCCATCTATTAACATTTATTCAAGTCAACTACACACAAGATAACCTTTTTAATTGAAGTCATCACGACTTTCCCTTGTTTATTGTTGTCACACTCCTTCCCTTTATCTACTCCTGATCTTACTAATAGTAATACTACCAATCGTCACTCGTCAAACGATATTTTTTCGGTATTCGTAAATGCGGCGAACAGCTTTTTCTACTGCGATCGGCAGCGTTGATCTGTCTGCTTGATCAACTTTGTCTCTTTCCGTCTTCGATATAGTCCCTTGGACTTTGAAGACTAATGGTCACAAAGTTACGAGGTTACACGAGGTTAGAAATCACTGTACATTGTAATGTATTCTATTGAATTGTATGTATTGTACATATATTGTAATGTATTGTATTGAATTGTATGTATTGTACATATATTGTAACTAGCGGGATAACTGGCGTTGCCCGGGGAAATCAGTGGCGTTACTCAGTTGGTGACCGCTTGGTTGAAAGGAAAATACCCAAAAAAATCTAACTATCTATCTATCCATGCATCCATCCATGCATCCATCCATCCATCCCATTCCATGCCATCCCATCCCATCGCATCCCATCCTATATCCCTTCCCATCCCATCGCATGCCATCTCATCGCATCCCAGGCCATGCCATGCCATGCCATCCCATCGCACTGCATCCCATCCCATCCTATCCCATCCCATCGCATGCCATGCCATCCCATCCCATCCCAACAGTAAAAAATAATAAGAAATCAAAAGATAGTCATTAAAATAAAAAAGTCCAAAATTATAAATAATTTATAGAAAATAGAAATTATATAGAAAATATAATAATATTTGATATGTAACCTACATAGGCTTCCGTGAAGTGTTCCTGTCAGTTTGCGCTATCATTATCATCTACCATAGTTTATTCTGGATTTTTACTAAATGTTTAAATGTGGTAAAAAAAATGAAAAATTTTGAAATTAACGGTGAATACGGCAGAAGTACATACTAAACAGTCCAAAAGTAAAGAAACACAGCATTTCCCGAGGTGGGATTCGAACCAAGAACCAATGATTTAGGAGTACGATGCTTTATGCATTCGGCTACTTGGCCGTTATGGTTTCACCATGGATTCACACGTACGTGATGTATAATGTTAATCTGTACGCCATCTATTGATGAATAGAATTTTTATAAATTTTTAACTTTTTAACTTTTTTGAAATTTTGTTTCAGCCAGAACCACCTCCCAGACGTGCTGATTCTGAAAATATATTTAGTTTTCCTCTAGGCTGCGGAGTTCTCTAGTTATGCGCGAACACACAAATTCGGCTGAACAACTTTATATATATATAGATGTATTGTATTGAATTGTATGTATTGTACATATATTGTAATGTATTGTACATATATTGTACATGAATCTCCAATATTGTATAAATACTGGCAATATATTGCATATTCTACTTCGTGTACTGCCTACCTCATTTTTTAGTTCGAGAGCTTCTATAAGCTTTTTTTTTTTATAGGATATTGCTGTTTTACCTCACTAACCTTTACACAGACTTGTACATATATATAATATGTTATTATTTGTATATACTCTATCGCTTTTATTTGTTTTCATTTTCTAACCATGCACTGTATATGAGTATTATTACTTATGATATACATTTTGAGTATCGTTGTCTTACTTGTCAATACTGTATTAACGTTTATTAGGTTGTTAAAATAACCGAATTTACGGAATGAGTGTTGGATTAATTTCATTTCATATCGGAACATTGATACTTGTATGCCTGGCTGGATTTGTTTCATTCAATAACCTAATTAAACTCATGCTTCATCTGCCTGTCTATGAACTAATCTTTTCAGGGGTGGCAGACTTTGATGACCTTTGGTTCCTTCGCCACCCCCATGCTTCATCTGTCAAACCATGTATTGTGACCTGTCATTCTCATATCTTCCGTTGTACACTGTATGTATGTATGTCGTATGCACAAATAAACATCTTTGAATCTTGAATCTTACAACAATTTCAGGAATGCGCCCGGAGGTTCCCCTTGCGAATTCCGGGCGTCGAGAACATTGTGAAGCCGGAGAAGTTTCTGCTGACGTCGCCGAGCGCAGACAGCATCAAGTGTGTTGCGACGCTCCTCGGCGACAACATATGTCAAGCTGTGAGACTCCTAGCCTTCGCTGCACAATCCTAGTTTGAGACTCCTAGCCTTAGCTGCACAATCCTAGTTTGAGGCTCCTAGGTTTTGCTGCACAATCCTAGTTTGAGACTCCTAGGCTTTGCTGCACAATCCTAGTTTGAGACTCCTAGGCTTTGCTGCACAATCCTAGTTTGAGACTCCTAGGCTTTGCTGCACAATCTAGTTTGAGACTCCTAGGCTTTGCTGCACAATCCTAGTTTGAGACTCCTAGGCTTTGCTGCACAATCCTAGTTTGAGACTCCTAGGCTTTGCTGCACAATCCTAGTTTGAGACTCCTAGCCTTTGCTGCACAATCCTAGTTTGAGACTCCTAGCCTTCGCTGCACAATCCTAGTTTGAGACTCCTAGCCTTGCCACCACAGAGTCACCGCAGTAGACGTTAGATGAGCGCTGTCACTCCGCGGCACTTGTTATTGTATCCTAATGGTCTTTTTTTAATATAAACTGGCAGTGGCTAGCGACTGTCCAATCAGTAAAATGAAGGGGTGTGTGAGCGATGGGTTTTTGCAACTGTGCTAAAGTAAGCCAGGGTGCTAAACTAAGGATTGGTCCGCATTTGCGTAGCACTCAATCTCGTACGTCCGAACTCTGAGTGCTTGAACCATTGTCGTCATCGTCATTGTGAGCCTAACCCTAAGCTCACCCTAATCCTAGCCTAATCTCAGGACGCGGATCCTAAACTTCCTGATTCCTTAGGCCTAACCCTGAATCTAACCTTGTCCGCATTCTAGCGTAATTTTACAGATCAATTGATCGCGAGATCTGAATAATTTAACAGTCGTTCGAATCGGGATGATACACTTTCAGTTGTCCCATCACGGTGTATAGCAGATTGTCATTCATCACAACACATGGGGTGTGCCGGTGACAGGTCGACATTTGTCTTTGCAGGACATTGTGCTGAAGGTTTTCAAGCACACCAGTCAGACCCACAAGACTCACATTCTGCCCGACTCGCCGTGGAAACTCCAACAGGTAATTCCCTCGCCGCTAACAGCTCCGCTCACAGACCTGCCAACCCTTACGATTTTTTCGTATTCCTTACGAATTCCATGATGTTTCTACGATTGTACGATCAAACTAAAAAACTTACGATTTTTTACGACTTGTGAAAATTAATGTTTTTTACATTGTGAGCCGAGAAATATCTGGCGATTGTGGGCGCAGCCATATTGGATCACGCGTTCACGTTGTTCTCGCGTGATCTAGAGTTAGTCCCATCATTCATTGCGCGCATAACATACAAACAAAATGGCCGCCTGCTGCAATAAAAGAAAAGCGTTACTATTTTCATGAATCACAGGTTGGCAGGTCTGCGCTCACACCTACGATATACCCGTGGAGACGCGTCGCAAGAAACTGTCGATTAAAAAAAATTCGATTAAACGCGTCTTCTCTGCAGCCCATGGTTATTCGTCGACGTCCGTAGCATAGGCAATTGTTGCACCGAGGTTGGGATCTCGCTACGACGCGGTACTTTGGAGCGACGTGTGTCGCACACCCAACACCCTCGCGTCACGTGACGGTCCTCGCATAGCCGCGGCCAACTCTGTCCGCAGAAGCGTCGGACGTTTTCGTGTGGCGGCAATCGGGCGTTCATCACCGGTCGCTTGCTCTCTTGTTTTTCCAGATCCAGGATGCCGGCAACCACCTGCTGGAGGCGATGGAGAAGCTGTCGTCTCGCGGCACGAAGGTGTTCTCGTCCGGCGCCGAGGTCGTGCAGGTACGAAGGTCGCGTACGAAGGTCGTGGACGAAGATCGCGTGGGGGTCGTCGAGTAGTTCAGGGGGTCAAAGGTCACATGGTTACTGCTTAACAAGGGTCGGTATGTGGCAGGGGTTGAAGGTCGCGTGGTTACTGCTTAACAAGGGTCGGTATGTGGCAGGGGTTGAAGGTCGCGTGGTTACTGCTTAACAAGGGTCGGTATGTGGCAGGGGTTGAAGGTCGCGTGGTTACTGCTTAACAAGGGTCACGCGACCTTCAACCCCTGCCACATACCGGGCGGGGAGACTATTCCAGCTCTCATCTCGCCTTGCAGCTCATGGCGGAGATTATGGGATGCCTGATCCGTGGCCGGTCGGGACTCGTCATGCCGAAGAAGAAGACCATCGAAGAGCTGATGCATAGTCCGAACATGGTGAGGTGCTAGCACGAGAGAGAGAGAGAGAGAGAGAGAGAGAGATAGGAAGCGAGAGGGAGGGAGAGAGAGAGAGAGAGCGAGAGAGATTCAAGCAGTTTGATCAACTGCCACACCTCCTGATAAAATATGACACTATAATAATATAATATACTTATCATAAAGATAATAATTATTATAGTATGATATAATAATGTCATAACAAACATAGATAATACTAGACACGAATCTCATCTAATTTCGATCGTATCAATAGTCTATAATATAGACTCGGAAATGTAATGATATGATTCTCCAGGGCCGTAGCTAGCCGGAGAGGGCACAGTTGCCCCCGCCCCCCAGAAAAAAAGTAGATACAGTACATGTTCAAAGGCAGTCACCTTTCCAAAATGGGTTAGCTACGCTTCTGTTCTCGCCATGATGCAATAATGGGTTAGCTACGCTGCTGTTCTCGCCATGATGCAATAATGGGTTAGCAGATCTCTCTCCCTCTCTCACAGTCCGTCGATCTCCTCATCGTCTCTTTCTGCTCTCTCCTCTCTTCTCTCTTCTCTCCTCTCTCTCTCTCTTCTCACTCCTTAGATTTGTGGTTCTGGTCCCTCACATATTGGTCTCTCACTCCTCTCTGTGGTCTCTATTCTCTCTTTTCTCCACATCACGCGCCCCCCACCTTCCTATTATCCTCCGCTCCTCTCGCTCCGCCTCCCTCCCTCTCCTCCTCCCTCCCTCTCCACGTCTTATCGCCTTTGTTTCTCTGTTCACCTGCTGGCAGAGCTGCAGGGCGACGGTGAACAGCATGAGCCTCTCATTTGAGCCACGGCACCGAGCACTGCGCCTGGTAGACGTCGAACTGCGGCCCTCTTCTGGGGGTGTCGTGCAGCTGCGTAGACGCGAAGACGAGCTTCGTTGTACTGTATGTAGAAGCTGATTTGCCGTCTCGCTCGCTCCACATGCGCCTTTCGCAGCACCTTCGTGCAACATGTTCGTAGCAGGAGACTGAAATTTTTCCCAACGACTTACAAAGACTTTTCAAGGTACATTTTATCGGAAACCTCTCAAGGACATTTATCGAAATTCATACACAGAACAAAACGTACTAATTATTCCTAATAACTCCCATTCTTAATCACTGCATGTCACCCTCTGAAAACTTTACCGCTGACCACATGAATAAACGCCTTCCTAAACACTAGCTGTCCCGTCTACAACATACCCGTTGATTTACTGACTGCTCTACGACTTACTGTAAGTTTATGATCATATTTACTGTCTATCGTGTTCTATAGCTTCTTACGCTCAATTGAACGCAATCTCTTTATGTGATGTTTGCACACTATTGATGTACAAAATTTCTTTTATTCTCGCGCAGGATTTCTTCTACAAAATTCAGACAAGTTTTGCCATGAAATTGCAAGCACTTTTTAAGCAGCAAAGATCACATTACTAAAAGATCAAAGTACCTTTCAAGGACTACCCTCAATTTCAAGACTTTTCAAAGGCTCGTGTGACACTTCCTCAATGACGACGACATGAAGACGGTCCGATCGCCATTATTGCATCATGGGATGACAGCAGCGTAGCTTAGACCCATTCATGCATCATGGCGAGAACATTGCCTGGTGGCAGCGTAGCTAACCCATTATTGCGATCATGCTGAGAACAGTCACGTAGCTAACCGCATTATGCCCATCATGGCGTAGAACAGAAGCGTCAGCTAGACCCACCTATTCGCAATTCATGGTCGAACGCAATACAGCAGCGTAGCTAACACCATTATTGCATCACTGGCGAGAACAGCAGCGTAGCTACCCATTATTGTCATCATGCGAGAAGCAGGGCAGCCGTACTTAAAGCGCCATATTGCATCATGGCGAGAACAGAACGTAGCTAACCGCATTATGCATCATGGCGAGAACAGCAGCGTGCTAAACGCATTATGCATCATGGCGAGAACAGCCAGCGCCAGCTAACCCATTATGTGCATCATGGCGAACAGGCAGCTAGCTAACCCATTAGCATCATGCGAGAACAGGAAAGCGAGCTAACCCATTTATTGCATCTAGGCAAAACAGCAGCCGTAGCTAAACGCCACTCATTATTGCACTCATGGCGAGAAACAGCAGCCGTAGCTAACCCATTATTGCATCATGGCGATGAACCCAGAAGCGTAGCTACCCATTATTTGCACGCATGGCGAGAACAGCAGCGTACTAACCCATTTATTGCATCATGCGAGACAGCTAGCGTAGCTAACCCATTATTGCATCATGACGAGAACATGCAGCTGTAGCTAACCCCATTATTGCATCTATTGGCGAGAACAGCAGCGTAGCTAACGCCATTATTGACCATGGCGAGAACACGAGCGTAGCTAACGCCATTAGTGCATCATGGCGAGAAGCAAGCAGTCGTGCTAACCATTATGCATCATGGCGAGAACAGAAGCGTAGCTAACGCATTATCTGCATCATGGCGAGAAAGCAACGAGCTAAACCATATTGATCATGGGAAA